ATTCCTCTTGTCGACTACTGCGTATTCCGTAGATTCGTAGCTGTAATTGTCGCAAGATATCTCCCAGCTTCGTTGGCCGTTACAAATATTTACGTGGGTTTCCAAGTCGCAGTAGCGGGGTCGACGGATAGAGATAGCGCACAAGGAGTATTATTCCCCCTTGCCCTAACCATCTTCCCTTCCATCTTACTGTGACGCATCTCGGGCTCGCAGGTATTTTGCGTCAAATACGCCTTCAATACCTGGAGACCTTCTCCTGCATCCAGTGTCGCGATGTTTGCTATTTAAACAATGGCAAATAAAAAGTATCTAACAAAATGTTTCTTCTTTCAGCGAAGAAATTGCCAGATATGAATAAACTGTGTCGTCAAGTCAGTATTGAGAGCCCTGGACCAACTATCAGGGACTGCGTGTTCAGTTTCGAAGTTCCGGTTCCAGATGTTCCGTCAAAAGGTGCAAGAATAAGAGTAAGTATTGCATTTTGATAATGCAGACAATGTACAGATGTTCACTGAAGGTGGCCGTCTTCTGGGTTGTGCCGTGTAGTCTGGTAGAAGTTTATCGGTGTCTAGAGGTGCTTACTACCTCTACCATCATCGCCTACAAAATGGAGATAGTAAATACCTCTGAAACGTCGGTAAACTTCCGATGCAAGATGCTGGAAACGTCTACCTTCATACCAGCAACCATGTTAGTCCACTGAACAAAGTCGTTATTAACAAGCTGATGGTCGCTAAGCTACAAATAACTTCGCCTTTCCCAATTTTTGTTTCGTGCTCACAGGAGGCCGCCATTACCTAGTTGAATCCAGTCTACGTCTTCAGAACCTGTTTTATTATTATCGTCCCATCCGTAACTAGGTCATCTACGTAGCTTCTTCCCTTCAGGTTTTCCAGCCTAAATTTTTGATACATGTTTTATCTCTCACGTTATCTTCCTTGATTTTCTTATCCATAGTTGATGAAAAGTGTTGACAAGTTTTCTTTAAGTTTGGTCTCGCATGCCTTTTTATTGTTCTGGCTGTTTTCTCTGTCTGAAGTCGGAGTGAAAGTAAAGATTAAAGAGTGTTTAGCGATAAAGTAACAATGTTTAGAAGATAATCTTAAAAATATTTTTTTAATCTTTGAAATAAAACACAACTCTTCGCCGTTACGACTATCAACTGGTTAACGCTGTTTAAAGAAATGATCCCTGTTCACACTGAGAACCATACAAGACCCATGAATACAGACGCATAGTTATAGTCGGCGCAATAGTTTTTGGCCGGTGGAGAAGATAGCGGAGCTGGCGGACGGGCCTAGTCTGTGTATCTGAGGTGGCACGGTCAGTGTATTCCTTTTGTTTGGGCGTTCAGTCACCCAAGCTCCTCGGTGCAGTCAGCATTAGACTATCGCAAAAGAGACTCGCTCCTAGCCTTCCCCTTGAAAATTCCACCGGCCAAAAACTATTGCGCCGACTATACAGGTTTTTCAAGCAGAAGGGCAGGTTCTCACTGTTCTTTAATAAGGGGTTAATAGCACAACGTGACGTACTACAGTCAAACAAATAAATTGATCAATTGACTGAACCCTGTGGTCATGTGTGCCACTCTGTAACTGCGACAACGAATGTCCAATCAACATAACCGTTGCCTTTTATTGAAAGGGCAGTCTGCTCTTTGCACTTCGCTGCATTGCTGAATAGTGACATCATTTAGGCCCGTTACATAAGTTGAACGACTGTTTCTGAAGTTCAAGCTCTAATTTTCAGCCCGGAGGTCCGTTATTCTCCTTGACAATGTTAGCTTTTCGTGGTTTTCCTCAGTAAATGTTGGAACACTACAGTAAACGATTGCTTCTTCTACTTACTAATTAAATAATTACATGGAGCCGTCTTCGAGAAGCTAATAGTCGCTCATCTAGTCAAGAAGTTGTCCGCCTCTGCAGAACCAGAAGGTTTATTACCATGTTACAAAAGCCCCCCCCCCCCACGGTTCTTGTCCTGTGCCAGATGAATCCCGTCCGCACCCTCTCACATTCTTCCTTAAGATCCATTTTAATAATATGTTCGAATCTGCGCCTAGGTCTGGCTTTCCAACCAGAATTTTGTATGCTTTTCTCATCTCATTCTGGTGTTTGCAAGTGATGTGCAAGCTTGCATACATCCGTCTTTACTCGTAAGTTTTTAACTGCACTGACAAAATAATCAATCTGCCTAACTTTATTAATATTAATAATAAAGCAGCAACGTTTATCGACTTTACTGGCGTGTTCACAGACAGATCGATCAAATGTTGTAGGCCAAATCTTCCCGTGACCTTGAACAGAGGCGTAATAACACTTTTAAGAAATTCAAACACAATTTCGGCTGTATATCGTCAGAGGAAGAGCCCTTTTGGGAGTGCTATGTGTGATGGAAAAATAATATTAAAATGGATTTAGGAAAATTGTATTTTGTGGTAGGATTTTGTTTGAAGACGATACGAATCTTGCGTGTTTATTAAAGCAGGGAATTTATTGACCAGCTGAGTGACTACCAACTTTTCAAGGCATACCCTGCGCTTTAATTAAATCAATTGTACTTATTGGCCAAATTCAGATTGTATCTCTGTAGACCGTAGGACATGTTTATCACCCTCAGCGTGACATTGCATGACATAAAACTGTTTGTCGCTAGAAAAATTAACACCTCTTTCAGTTTTAAGCGTACCTGGTAAGAACGAACAACTCGTCGTCCTTCGTGCTCGATAATCTTCCCGTCGCATCAGTTTCGAGCCTTCGGTTAACTATCAGTCGCTCTGGGGGTCTCCATTGACGTCTGCAGTACCAGACTTCTCACCATTAGGGAATTAATAATCGCGAGAGGACTTCAGCTGTCAGAACTAAATGGGCTGAAGTGGTAGGAATTGACACTTTTAAGCCCAGATCGCCTTTTCATACTGTTTTGGAAATTTAGTCCATCCCTAAAAGAAAACACATGCGTGTCCCTCAGTTGGTTAACGATGTTCGAGGAAATAATCAAAGTAACCGAATCACTCTTGTATGATAACAGTTTTTCAATCGCCGGCTGGCCGTTCCAGGGGACTTCCCACGAAGTTCTTTCCCAAAAGGATTGAATGCAGTACCCAACGTGAAAAATGAGCAGAGTGTCGTTTGGCTCCAGAATACGGTGTATTGTTTTCAAAGAAACTACTGTTGAACATGAACATCTTGTTATTTTAACAGTATCTAGCTTTAAAAATTCGGGATTTTCCATAGAAGTGCATTGTCCGTGGCAAACGTATTTTTATCTCGTTATGTTTTCGTATTACGTGTCGTATATACGGCGTTTTAGACTTCCAGAGTCAGTCCTAAGTTCGCAGTGGTAAGGCGTGAGGCGGAGTGCATGACGTGAACCACGCCAAAAGAATCTTCCGTGGCTCTCAACCGATCTGAAGCCGTCATGTCGCTCCCCTAAACAGTGTCGATGTCTGATTCATACATATCCTGAATAGACTATAGTAACTCCAAAAATTCGGCACCAGAAATGAGACATATTTGAAACGCAATGTATAGACTCACTTTTTGATGTTCCATTGGAATTCTGCGTTTGTACTAAATTTACGAAATGTGAACCTTAATAATTCTCCACATTTTTTTATTTTTAAATTTTTGTCCACAAAATTAATCATCTGTGTTAACGGCGCTGAAAAGTCTGCGCAAGGTTAGATTTTACTTCTGTCTACAGTGTCCCGACACTTTTGTGCACGTGGCGTGTTCAGGCCTATCAAAGACGGCATCGGGGAGTGTCGTTTCTGAAACTTGTGTTCACTCTTCTACCCGACATTTAGCAATCCCTGAACAGAATCTTTGTTTTCTGACTCAGCCCGGAGACCAGCCATCATGACGCAGGTGTTCGCGTTTTTTCTCAGTCCTTTCATTCAGATGGTGCAACAATGCCTTAAATTAGGTTACAACCGCTTCCACAACCTTTCCAGTTCATTATTCATCCGGTTATTCGATGATGATGTTTGAGCTAAGAGTGTCGTTAAATAAATCATAAAGAAATTACAAGTTAATAAATATGTAAAATAAGACCTAAGAATGGTTGCGAGGAGGCCTTTGCTACCTCCATCATCAACGCGATGGAGGCAGCAAGGACCTCTAAAACGTCGGTAAACTTCTACCAGACTACAACAACCCAGAAGACAGCCATCTTCATACTCATCGTCGTGAAAACATAAAATCTTACTAAGTTTACTTGCGACACAAAAAATCGCCACGCAAAGAACGAAGTAACCGAGTGTTCTAAGGCAGTGGTATTCAACCTGGGGTACGCGTACCCCCGGGGGGTACGCAAAATTTTAAAAAAAAAATATATAATAAGCACTGAATAATCAGGGCCAGATTTAATACATTATTTTGGATGTAATTTATTTAATTTATTTTAGATGTGGATTATATACTATGTATAACTTGAATTATACACCAACAACTGTGGGGGTACAAAGTTGGAAAAGAAATTATATCTGGGGGTACGCGAACAAAAAGGTTGAATACCACTGCTCTAAGGAACATGCGGTATAATGTCGGATTTCTGGATTGCAGGATCGTGATTTCGAATACCGACCTGAGCGTTGATGTAGACGCGTTTGTGTACGATTTTCTGTGTTGTGTCGTCGGGTGTATGCAGTGACCTTGTAATGAGCCAACTAGTCTCCCCTCAGCGGAGCCATACAGCTACAGTAAAGTACCAAACTTGTACAAGATTTCAAAATTAATTCTGAATTGAAACAGACTATGAACGCTGAAGAAAAATATTATCACTCAAACGCGTCTAAGTTCACATATTAAATTTGAAATGAGAATTTTTTAAGTCAATAGAAAATGAAGCAAAGTCATCAGTAGAGTTTCTCAGATCGTTGGTCTGTAGCCGTCACTGCTGAGATCGGGGAAGTTGGTTTGCTTTCTTTTCTAGCTTTGTAGGGTTCCTCTTCCCTTTTCTAGCCGTTATTTCAGTAACTGAATAATCCATATGGGAACGTGATGCGTGTATAGGTTATGTCCTTGTGAATGCAAACAATAGCGTAAACAGCAGATGATCAGGACATTCCTGTACGACAGCGTCGCTGTGTCCAGTCCCATTTACACGATAGTTATTCCATGTCTGGACAACCCTAGCGAGTGATCGATACCTCGTCACTCGGTGTTCACGTGAACAGTGAACGCATGCGCACCGGGAAGTGGGAGCCCTGTCGAGGCCAAGCACAATGAGTTGCGTGAATGCAATCTTAAGTTGCATCAACAAGCCTGCTTTTTGTTCCACATCTTGTCAAGTCTTGTTGTACAGAGTCCTCCGACTATCCTGAAGACTTCAGGAAGGACTGGAAAAAGTTTTGATCGAAAGTCGAGCCTGTGTGATAAACAACCCTGCTCCATATATGGGAGGAACTGGGTTTGATTCTAGGACACGAACCCTTCCCCCCGTATCCTTCCGAAGTCATGATTGACGGGCATTCATATGTTGAAGATGACTGCGTTTTGGGATGTTGAGCTGTGTGGTATGGCAACAGACGTTTCAGAGTTATTCCTCCATCATGAGTGTGATGATTTGCAAACTTCTTCCAGACTGAACGACGCTATATCACAGAATATAATCGTTTATACTCGCCACGCCATTGACGACTCTACATGTTCGATGCAGCTGATAGAGCATCGTTAAATAAAATGAGAGATGATGATAATAATAATGTTGTTGCATGTGCTAGGTTTTTGGTACCATGAAATCCTCTCGTGTCTCTTGAGTGACGTCCAAGATGATAGAAACAAATGACAACGTACAGACCTTGTTCGACCAAAGAATTATTCTGCTTTGTAGAAGAATTTACTTCAGCTGAAAAATTTTCTAAATATTTACGAAAATAACTATTACACCTACGTGTGTTTATTTACATTCGTATTATAACATGTTCCACGTCTTGGCTTTTACTGTGAAGGATCTCAGAATTTAATTAATTTTGCTTTTGCCCTATAATGTTGTATTCCTATCTCTTCTGTTCTATCCTTTTACATACTGTTCTATTCTGTGTTCTGTTGTGTCCTATATTATTCTATTCTGTTTTATTATACTCTGTTATGAATACCAACGCCCTCTACCCCTTCCCCCCAATTGTTGTTTACTATTCTACCTTTCCTGATTTCTTTTTCCGTTTTTTCTTATTCTTCTTCTTATAACGAGGCCACGCGTCATTGTAGGAGAACATTGTAAGTATGTTGTAGTGGGAACAGATTATAATGAGGGCAAGCCATGTTGATAAGAAACAGTTTTAAATGTAAACATTGATTGCCGTGAAGTCTTATGGCAGTGGTTCAGAACCCCCGGTTCGTATACGATACTCCGTTATGTTACGAACGACTTGCGTACGTGCATCCATTAGTACATCTGTCTTTATTGTTATTCCATGGATCCATAAGTTAGATGACAGCAGGACGTAGAATAAGGCCTACATGTTTTCATAATATGACTACTGTGTCGATCTATATGATGGAAATAATTTTCCTGATGTTAGAAATGTCGTCAGTATTTTGTCTATAACTAACGCTGTGAGCTGCTTAATGAAGAACCTTGAATCAAGAAATAGTACGCGTCTTAATGACGAACTATTGAAGGGATGCATTCTAGTCGTAACAACTTAAACCTGTCATTTAAATATTACCTAGACAAAAGCAATGTAAAATATCTCGCTGATGACGGATTTTACCAGATAATTATTGAGTGGTGGTGTATGAACATGTAACTTAGAAAACGAATTTCCGTGGAAGTTCTTATAAATAGTTCTAATTTGCAACCTTGAGGTCTGCAAGCTGACAAGCAAGTGTGAATTTAGCTTTATGGGTGTGGGAAAGGTTGAGAACCCCTTTGTTACAGCTTCGTTTATGTCGGCAATAGCCCTTGGCAGTGAAACGATTAAACTTCGTGGTCCTGGAACTGCAGCCAGCGTCAAACCAATCCCGTACTGTTTCTAACCGTATGTTTATCGTGGTTAAGGCAACTGATTTCGACAATTTATATTTTTAACAATTTTCATCAAGTAGATCATAATCTGGGTCAGTATTTATCAGCTGCTTGCCCGCTGTCGGGAGTTGTCTGTTCGCAAATTCTAGAGAAAATAAATACTACGTTATTTTAAAGCTAACGCCTTTTCTTTTTCTTTTTTTTGCAATGCGAAACGTTGAAGAAAGGCGTAGGCAGAACATCGATAAATACCGTACATCGATCTTTCGAAAAGTTTATCTTCAGGATCTTTTTTTAGTCCATGTGCATGAAGTAATTGTTTTCTACGAACTGCTGTAACGACGTTGGGCAGTAAGACTGACATGTTTACTGCCAGAGCTTGTTGACAAGATGAGCTACGTCAAGGGGTCAATGTTTAATGCAACTAATATAATTTGTTCTAACTATGCAGCGAGTTTGCCGTCCAACCTAATCTGTAGTCCATCACGGGCGTGTCCAGGAGTGCATTGCAGTCAGCAAATATCTTAACAGGATCGTTGTCCTCGTCCAATAATTTCCCCCTATTTGCTCAGTACTATAATATAAACCAGTGGTATTCAACCTTTTTTGTTCGCGTACCTCCAGATATAATTTCTCTTCAACTTTGTACCCCCAAAGTTGTTGGTGTATAATTCAAGTTATACATAGTATATAATCTACATCTAAAATAAATTAAATAAATTACATTACTGATTATTCAGTGTTTATCATAAAATAAT